TTTTCATTTTTCATACCAATAAAAATAATTATATTTTTATCTAAAACATCAGGGCAAATACATCAACATCCTTACTGAATTTGAAACTATAACTAAGTTAATCCAAATCATATCATCAAAAAGGTGTATTTTTAAATAAAACCAATGGTCATCACTATAGAAACACAAAACTATCTAACATTATTACAGGTGAGAGATGCCTCACCTCAATTTGAGCAGCCTTTATTTGCTCTTAAATAACACAGCTACAGATGGCGGGACATATCTTTTGTCCGTGGATTTCACAACTTTATGCTTCAACATGTTTATTATAATTAAAATTATCTCTCCCTGTTCTTTTGACCCGTGGTCATAACTCATGTGAAATCTCAGTTTTACAATACATATTTTTAAATTGTTACAAAATGAAAAACGAGTCTCATAAAAAAGAAACTCAAACAAATCAGGAACTTCAGGGCAATCATGGCAATAGTTCATTTTAACAGATTCATTTTGTTTAACAATACAATTAAAAGCCTCACCTCCCAACTCATGGACCTGACATCTCACCTCCTCTTGAAAATCATACACAAGTGCACCTTTAGAGCTGGCAGCGCTCTCTTTAACACTTTCAACATTGGTTTCAAACTTAATGTTAGAGCACTCCTGGCTCTCAAAATCTGGACAATCTTCATTCACATTACTTGGGAATTTATTTTCATTACAACTATCTGTAACAATTTGTACATTTGAGCAGCCCTGGCTCACATTTACAGGTGATTCATCATCATTACAGCTATCCGTAACAATATGAAAATCTGAGCAGCCCTGGCTCACATTTGCAGGTGATTTATTATCATTACAGCTATCCGTAACAATATGAAAATCTGAGCAGCCGTGGCTCACACTACCTATTGATTCATCATCAATACAGCTCTCTGCAATACTAAGAAATTTTGAGCAACCCTTGCTCATAACAACTTGTGATACATTTTCATTGCAGATCTCTGCAGTAATATCAAAACCTGAGCACACCTGGCTCACATTATCAACTAATTCATATTCATTACCAGCACATATCTCTGTAAAAATATCAACATTTGAGCAACCTTTGCTCACAACCTTTTTACACAGTGACTCATTTACATCACAATAATTATCAACAACAATTTTATCTCCTTCCCCCACCTCAGGGATTACACTCACCTCATCACCTTTACACAAAAAATCAGACACTTTAACTTCAGGACTTACATTATCTGATGGCTCACCATGAGATACAACAAAAATCATGTCCTCAGACATTAGAACAGGGTTCTCTTTGCTTTCAATGCCGCCCGTTTCCATAACAACCAATTCATTACATGCTGTGGCACTGGGACAATCCCCTACATACGTCCACCTAAGGTCATTTCCAATGACTTCTACCTTATTAAATTGTCGTCCCCTTTCTTCTTTACATTGGACTTCCTGGGATACACCAACTACTTCAACCTCGTTTTGACATGAATCTAAAGCTATATCTGTACCCTTTGCCACTGGGGGTATGTCAAAACGGTCAACGTTGTCCCTTTTAACGTCAGCTGACGGACCAATTAACAAATCACTGTCATTTCTATTTAAAAAAATTGAGTCGTCAGCAGAGGCAATAATATCATTTTGTTCCTCAGTATCTTTAGCCAATACGTTCTTCCTCTCTCTGTCTATTTATCCGTTCTTCCTCTCTCTGTCTATCTATACGTTCTTCCTCTCTCTGTCTATTTATACGTTCTTCCTCTCTCTGTCTATCTATACGATCTTCCTCTCTCTGTCTATTTATACGTTCTTCCTCTCTCTGTCTATCTATACGTTCTTTCTCTCTCTCTTCCCGTACGTGTTCTTCGAACTTAACTCTTATATACTCCTCTAGGTTCTCTCCCTTATAACAAAGCAACACACCCACATGCCTAATTTCTTCTAAACTCCATTTCCTACTGACATATCCAGCCATAGCAATGCAAATGAAGGGTGATCATACAATAAACAATAAAAATAGGTTTAAGGACCAATCGCAGTCTGTTTAAACTAACTCTAGCAAAACTCTAAATTCTACCCAGGTAAAAAAAATGTTAATACATAAGTCATAAGAAAATTAATGCCAAAAATGTTTTAAACAATAAAAATCCAACTTGCCTGGTTCGTGGAAAGTCCTATAGAATTTAAATATTATTCAAAACACACACTGGGCTTAATTAAGTGTCAATGGTTCTTTACTGTCAATAGTTCTCTCACAAACTTCAATTGTCCTATATGGCCATCTTGGGACACAGTCATTGAGGTGTGGGTGACCGGGACGGGTCACGGGACATTGGCAGCTCACTGGACAGAATGTAGGCGAATCGCCGACACTGGACAGTTCGTGGATAACTCGCCAATACAGGATCGGGCCTGTGCAGCTTGATGCAGGACGGGACGTTGGTGGCTCGTTGAAGCAGGAAGGGTGACCGGGACGGGTCACGGGACATCGGCAGCTCACTGGACAGAATGTAGGCGTATCGCCGACACTGGACAGTTCGTGGGTAACTCACCAATACAGGATCGGGCATGTGCAGCTTGATGCAGGACGGGACGTTGGTGGCTCGTTTAAACAGGACAGGGCGTTGTTCAACTGGGTGACCGGACAGGCCACATGACTTCACAGCTCACTGGACACGAAGTTGGTAGCTCACTACCGACAGGACGTAGATTACTCGATACAGGGGAAATGCGTAGTCAATTCACTGGAACTCAACTGCACGTTGGCGACTTGATGAAGGTCAGGACTGGGTATTTCACTGGAACTTGACACGAAGTTGGTAGCTCACTACCGAAGGAACGTAGATAACTCGATGCGTGGAGGGGCGTAGTTAACTCACTGGAACTGAACAGGACGTTGGCAACTTTATAACGGGCAGGGCGTAGTTAATTTGCTGTAACTGGACACGACATTGGTAACTTCATACAGGGCAGGACGTAGTCATTTCACTGGAACTGAACAGGACGTTGGCAACTTGATAACGGGCAGGGCGTAGTTAATTTGCTGTAACTGGACACGACATTGCTAACTTCATACAGGACAGGACGTAGTCATTTCACTGGAACCGGACAGGACGTTGGCAACTTGATAACGGGCAGGGCGTAGTTAATTTGCTGTAACTGGACACGACATTGCTAACTTCATACAGGACAGGACGTAAACTTGATAACGGGCAGGGTGTAGTTAGCCTGTTGCAGGTTAGGACATAACTAGCCTAATACAGGACGTAGGTGGTTGATGGAGTTACTGGTGTATGCAACTCACATAAACTTGACACACGGTGGCAGCGGGGCTTCGACATTGAAATACGGGAACAATGGACGATGGTTGTAACTTCACCAAAGTTGAATAATAAGAATGTTCTTGTACTTTACCTCACGTATGAAAATAACGAGGTTCACCAATCCCGGATGAGAAGCCCCCATGTCAACTCCTAACGTCTTCTTGGATTGATTACATTCGTCAGTTCTTTCATACGTTGAAGCGTCGTACTATTCTAACTATCAATTAACAAACTCAACTCCTTTTCCTAATAACTATAACTTTAATATCTAAGTAAATATAATAAACATCCTATCACTCCAAGGTTCCACTCAAGACTGCCGCACGACTACAACATACGTCACAACACTGCATAGACAATACGTCACGATTACAATGGCGGGAAGAGCGTTCACTAACTATAATAGTCAAGCGCGGGAAAAGCGTTCAACAACTAATGAACATAATATTGAGTCGCAACAATTCCTAATGAACGCTCATACTCGACAGTGTCCATTAGTATCAACACAGGCTTCAAGAAGCACTCTCCACTGACCAATCATCAAAATGATTCCCTTTTTTCTGGACACTGTGTATATAAGAATGTACAGATAACACTGGACAGATTAGAGTACCACCTTTAAATAATAAACAAAATATTAAATGATTAAGCAGTATCTTTTTCACAAGTTTATTTAATTTACATACCTATGAACTTTATATATAAATATTTTTCTTTAAGTATAAATTAATTATTTTTTTTACATTTTGGGTATGTCTGAAATTTAAAACTTTAAAAATTTATTTGTCTTTGAAAAAAAAAAAGACCTGTTGACTAAAGAAAATATTATATTCTATATTCATATACAAAATAATTATATTATTAGACAAAAATACAAGTTATAAATTAATAACTTAATAAAATCAGCAATAGATTTTCCTATAAATAGAAATAAACTTCCATCAATTGTACATTTATGAGTTTAATAACAAGCAATCTTTATGTTCTTAATCTGATAAATGTGTGATAGCTCTAATCCTGCTAAAAATGTGTTAATGTGCTAAAAATAATAACATAAATAAAAGACACATATAATAAAAGAAACGAAGTTTATTTTCCCGATTTTCTGGCTAATACACTAACATGTGAATCTGTACAAATGAAAATGGCAACACAATATTTTTAAAAAGGCACCGAGTCATTCAAATAGAGAAATAATTCATGTATACAACAATGTAAAATTACAACTTGAGTAGAACATTTACTATTTACAACAAAAATTCCAAAATAAAGTTTTTAAAAGGCCATATTTATAGCTAATTTTAATTTATACCTAGGAATGTAAGTTAAAAATTCACAACCACTTTGAACTAATTTAAAAATGGAATGTAAATGGAACTTCAATATCACTACAACAATTATCAATATGCTAAATCTTGATAATCTGTAGTGTTTTTTTGTGTGTTTTTTTGAGTTTCAGATTTATGTTGTTTAATTTTAATACACCTTGTTGAAATAGATTTCATTTTAAAGGAAAAAATTAAAATATTTAAAGAGCTTGTATCAATATAAAGATGTAGTAAAATTTGTCAATCAAATAATTTAATCTATTGATATGACAACAGACATAAAGGGCAAAAACATACTTTTTAGTACAATTATTTTTCTTGAAACAAGTAGTGCCCTTATAACAGGGGCATCAAGCGGTCAGGCCAAATAATTGATCAAAAAAGTTATTATTGCGTTAATCGTCTTTATTGTTTCTTTCTTCTATTTCTTGTCATCAAATATTCTCTCAGAAAAATTATGATTTAAATTTTTTCAATACTTTGGAATGAGCAATTATGTAAATCAACATGCACACATCAGATACACAAAACAAAATTACCATTAAAAAACATTATTACCAATATTGAGTGGCAAGAGATAATTTTTACGAAGATCATGAGCACTCAGCCTATTATAGCAGACGTTGTCCTTCAGCTGGTGGTGAAAATGAGATTTGTGAAAGTGGGCAGTGGTGGTCAGCACCTCTCCCTCTTCATCCTTGTGGGCTGCAATGAAATTTGTAGAAAATTCTTCGTGCTGGATTTGAAGAGTGTTAAGCACCCACTGGAGCTTGATATCTGAAACAAGTCGGGAATCTTGAGCTGTTTTAACTTCCTTCATTCTGCGTTTGGTTTTCTCCATGATTTTTTCAAAACGTTCACCATCTTGTTTAGCTGGGGTCAAAAGGGTCACCTAAATTGTCAATTTTTAAGAATATTTAATGTCTATTGTTGCCATTACATGAAGGATGAAATGGTGAAGTTTTAAAAATCTGACTTAAAAAAAATAACTGTTTAAGGAACTTGGCAATAAACTTAAAATCTTTGGGGATTATAATTCTGGCATTGAGTGTTTATTCTTTTTTAACTTAATTTCTGTTAGAGAAAAAAGCAACTTTGTTACCCACTAAGAGGAAGCCAAAACCTGTACTTGGTATACTTAAATTACCATATTAATCATAATTAATTCCCATCTGCTATATCAATCTACATCTTTAAAATATAAAATTCTTTACAATATCAATATTAAGTTGTCTTTGCAAAATATTTTCAAGTCTTCTCAGAATTCAGAAAAATATTTCTTGAAATTTTATATTAAGACATCTTACTGTAAAACCTGTGCCTTTATTCCTTATCATCAGTAACATAACTTGAAAGAGCCTTTCTGAGTCAATTCGAGGGGTAACTATATAAACAGCCCCTCCCACTCCAAACCAGTCATCAAGTAAGCTTTTCCAAAGACGCATGATGAACTCATGATGCATGATACCTCCGCCCTCAGGGATCCGGTCTAACAAATCCTGAACCTGCATGTTAATTAGGAGGAAAAATTCTCATTTTAAATTTTAGTTATAGAAGACAGACACTATGGGCATTTTGAAAGTATTTTTTTAACATGTGGACATGAACAATATAATTTTATTTACAAAGAGTGATATAGAATTCTTTTATTTAATTCCCTTACTAAAAATAAACTGGAAGATTAAGTTTGTACAATGTCAATGGCCCACATAAAATGTTACGAAGTTATTTAAAAGAGCGAAAAAAATCAGATAGGAAATGTCCCATTAAGTTTAAAAATTAGTTGTTTAATGTACCTCTTCATCATCTTTATTTAATTGCAGATATCTAGTGACTGAATTCTCTGAGACACCAGATGCTCCATCACTTGGTAGTTCAATGGCATCTCCATTACCTATATCTAATAATTTTTCAAAAGTATCGACAAACCATGGCCAGTGATTTTTACCACTGACTCTCATGAGTTTTGTTGTTTTATTCAATTTGATGGTCACACCCATGGTTGGTTTAATCTTAATGATATCTCCCTTTTCACGACACTTGATGTTTGGATAGTAAGTCTGAAATAAAATGTCAGAATCACATCAATATTACTTTATAATTATTGAAAATCCATTATATTAATCATTTGATTATCATAAAATGATCTATATATTTAAGTATTGATATTCTTGTAAAGTTATTTGTCAGTCAAAATTATATTTAAAATGAAATTAATAGATGGTATATTTACAGACCTTGAATATCTCCATCCACCAATTGATAATGCCCCTGAAATTTGAGAAAACTACAATTTGGTCGCCTTCATCAACCATGTCTATATCGTGACTTGTTGGTGTTCCCCATATTTGTGCCAGCACACGTCTTCTGTCTTTTTTTGACATTTACTGGATTCTGCAAGAGCTTAAAATATTACATAAATAGAAACTTACACTCTACATCATTATCTCAAATCTTAATGAGTAATTAAGTTATAATGCATGTGTTTTTTTTTCTCTAGTAATTATGTATATTCTAAAAAATTAAATGTTTGCCGCCAGGCAACAAACTTTAAAAGAACAAACACACTATAGAAAAGGGAAATTTCGACTTGAAAAAAAAATAGAGATGTCTGATTTGTAACAAATACTTGAACTTCTATGTGATTGAGACATTATATTAGTTTTTATCAGCCTTTGACCACATTGACATCTACAGTTTTTCCCAATCTGACAAGTAATAATAATATATCAGTAGCTTAATTACTTGTGCCCTGTGTATGCAAGTTTATTTTTAGGTAGAAGGAAGTATATTCAAATGATACAACTGATTCCTGAATTCTAATTAATTCATTTCTAATTTTATTCTCTCTGAAGTAAGAACAAAAAGATTTTTTGGGGTTAATAGTTAATATTGTATAGTGGAAAGTTCAATTTTAATATTTTAAAAAGATTAACTAAATTGCTCTTATAAAGGACTAGAGTGATGTGGTAAGGTGAGAGGAATAAGGCAAGGGTAAATGGGGGAGAGTGTGACCTAATAGGGGACTAGGGTTGAGATGGGATTGCCTGATTTGGAAAGAAGTTGTCAGTAAGTTGATTTGAGGGGTGGGAGTTCAGAGGTAGTTGTAAGGGTGAATGATTAGGTTTAAATCAATATAAATGCTAAAGCAGTTTGTTTGTTTGTTTTTTTCAGGGGGGGGGGGGGGAGGAATCAAATATTTTAACAACTTTTGTCTGCCCTGATGACCATCAGGTACACAGAACTAAATTAGGACAACTATGTTATTATGTTATAAGAAAGTTTCAAAATATTAATGGAAATATTAAATTAAATAGTACCTGACAAAAAATAAAACTTACAATAACACTGTTATTTAAGATATTTCCATAATTTAATAACTTGTTTGCCAAACTCAACAAAAACTAAAACTAGGAAATGGTTTGGCTGAACCAGTTTTCACCAATGGCCTAAAGTTTTAAAGTAAAAATAACATTGTTATTAAAGTAGCAGAAAACTTATGTGTCCCCATTTAAAACAAAGTCCACTAATTAAATTAATAAAACTATTAAGAGCAGCCAAATTAAGTTTACCTACATACAGCACTTCACTCAACCACTAACACTATTTCATAGTCCCTATCCCCTTACCTAATTTAGTAATTTAATACTGGTACTGGTAATGCCATTATTAGCATTTTTAGTAATCTTGCAGTTCAGGTGTGTGTATTATTTCTGATCGAATTTCGTATTATCGCAAGTAAACTTACGTGTATTCTTTATAAAATTTAGTCCAGATAGTATTAGTTAACGCTAAATTGTAAAGCCGTCTAGTCTATTTTTTCTTCAAATCAAATTGCAACAACAAAACAAAATTAATTGTTTTCTTAAAATAAGTATAAGTTATAATTATAAGAAGAAGGCCCATCCTCAATCATGACATGTTAAACAAAACACACAAAAAGATCACGAGTGTAAATTTAAAGAAAAGAAGTAAGACTAAGATGTACTAAGAAAGAGGCCTAAGTTCTAAGCCTTATAAAAAATAAATATATCTACATAAATTATGTAGATATAGTTATTTTTTATAAGGCTTAGGCTTAGGCCTCTTTCATAAAAAGTGAGAAACTGTAAACCGAAGTGAGAAATGATTGTCAACGATTTAATAATATAAGCCTAACGAAAATAAGAATATCTAAAACTGTTAACTATTAGGCCTACCTAAGCTTTAAGTATTTTAGTATTACAGTAAGTAGTTTTCTTTTATAGTATATTTAATTAACTGTGTAAAAATTAATTTCCGCATCAATTGTTTACAAGACATAAGACACCATCTTTAGACGGAACAAAAAATTATTGACCAATCAAAATACATTTCTTTGTAACCGGTTAAGAAAAACGTTTTTAGCTTTAACATTTTCCCAACTTTAAACACAATGGTGCAATAAAATGTCATGTTTTTAAAAACATATATAGAACAGAAAAAATATAAAATATATAAATAAATAACGAATTAACATATTTTATATTTGTCAATTAATAAGACAACAAAATAAAAATTCAATTAGAAACACCTACCGTAAAATTATTATGAAAGTTACTTTCATTTTGCACCGTTTGATAAAACCCGGAAGATTGTTATGCAGCCCTAGAAAGACAGGAGAGGGTTATCCCAATAAAAGAAACAATAACAATCGGATCGTGAAGATGCTATTTGGATTATTTGTATTTAGTTATTAATTGGCATGGAATTTTTAAAGATAGTTTTTAGTCACTAATTCTGACAAAAACGACCTACAGAAACATGTCGAAAGACACAAAAAAGTTTATCAAAGAATTTATAAGGCATGTTGAGACATTGGAAGCCGAGGAGGACCCAGAAGGAAATGGCTTTAACAAAGAATACAGGGTAAAATTTTAGAAATAAAATACGAATTTAACTTCCTTAAGTCCATTTCCTTATAAAAATAGGCCTAACAGTTATTGAAGATACACTATTTTAAATTTAAATGAATAAACATTTTAGCCAGTTTCTACCTCTCCCTTGCATATCTAATAAAATTTGATGGTATGATTATTAATGATTATGATTAATATGATGAATATGACTTATCATGACTTATGATAGTATAATTATAGTATGATTATCTGATTAAGATATTTTTAAATTTTATATTAGTAAATTATCTTAAATTAGACCTAAACCTCATTCCTCAATAACAATACCTTAAACATTTTTTTACTGCACTGCAGCCTTCAATCATCAAAACTGCACTCAAAACAAATCTTTTTAAACCCTACTATCCTCTGATTCTCCCCTCTGACAGAAAAACAATGCTGTTGGGTGTCGTCCATTGCTTTACATGTAAATAGTTTTAAATATACATTCGTTTTGTTTTATTTAATTAACTAGCCAATATACCCAGCGTTGCACAGGATTGCATTAGTACCCCATCCTTGTGTGACCCCGATCCCATTGGAACCCAAATCCCAATCTGACACTGATCCTGGCACCGTCCCGTTTCCCGGTTTATCCCGATCCCGGTGGATCCATTCAAGGTTGGGATCCCGATCCAGGTGGGATCCCGTTTTCTGGTGGGATAAAAATTATGATGGGATCCCGTATAAAAAAATTACTCAGTGTTACTGAGAGAGCAGTAAACTCCGGGACAGTATAGAAATGAATAGAACTAACTAAAATTTCATTATCCCTTAGATCCAACTATATCTCCCCGTGGAACAATTTAGAACTTTCTGGAAGATTCTAGATTAAATTTAATAACCTGCTCGAAACATATGTAAAACTACTTTTCTAATTATTTTTTGAATACAATAAAAATCTTCAACAAATACCATAATTATAATCCTTTTTATTTTAAATTAATCATGTTTAAGTTAAACATGGGGCCCATACCATAACTGTACCGATTTAGCTTTGCCTGAGATAGGAAGCCCAATAAATATCAGACGGATACATAATAGAGTTAAAATTTAAAATTTAAAATTTGTCCCATTAAAATCTACTTAAAAATGCCATAGATGTAGCTTTTTAAAATTATGGAACTTTCTGGAAAATTCTAGATTGGATATTATTAGTTTTAAATCCACCGATATTTCAATATGGACTAAGAAGCTTAATGAACAAAGCTAGGCTTAGATCCATAAATTCACATAGACCCTATACCGTTGTCTAACACTATTGATATCCATATAGCTTATATAAGAAAAAATGAACTGGGCCCCCCGACCCCAGAAGAATGGATATTATGAGTTCAGTACCCTTCGGTATTTGAATATGGATAATAAAGTATATGTGTACTAAGTTTGGTCAAGATCCCTCAACTCAAGTAGGAGTATTTGTTTCTAATTATTTTTATATAGCTCATATAAGGAAAAAAAAGAATTCTGGGTCCACGGCCCCAAACGGAATGTTATAAAAAGTTCATAACCCCTTAAGATTTCCTTTTGGATAATGATGGATATATGTGCCAAGTTTGGTCAAGATCCATCAATCTTTGTAAAAGCCTTTGTGGAACAAACAAATCCCGCCACAAACAAAAATTCACTTTTATATATATACAAGTGTTAATTTTGAATGTCTATATGTATAATATGATTTTGGAGGTTTAAAATAGTGTAAAAAATAATAACACTTAAATTCATTTTGATTATGTTGTTGTACCGTAAACATTTAAGGTACAAATTATTTACAATCATGTAACTAATAAATCAATTTTTTTATATTTAGCGGTCAAATAATTTTGTGTAAATAATTACAATTTCATACATTTTTCGAATACATTAAAATTTTAATTTCCTGTACATCAAGTTGTTTTCAACAACAAAAATTAAGTTATGTTATCTGCTTCAACAAAAGTTTTTAAGGCAATAAATATTTTAAAAATTAGTCCAACAGTCTTCTTTTTACTTTACATTAATTAGGACAACCATAAAACCTTACTTAAAATTAATTGTATTTTTCTAACTAATAGTACCAGTACTCAAAAATAACAACCCGTCAGATGCCGGGTATATCAGCTAGTCATATATATATATATATAAGTGAATGTTTGTGGCTTTGTTTGTTCCACATAGGCTTTTACATGGATATGATGGAGCTTATGTCAATTAATTTTTTAAAGTTCATGATTAAGTTTGTTAAATTGTATGTACAGCGTGGTGAGCCCAGCCCTAGGCTGAGGTACCACGCTATATAAAACCACTTATAATAAGTTATAATAATAATTACTTTGGCCTTGGCAAAGAAGAAGCTGGGTAACATTTTTTCAGACTATGTTCCCCTCACCCCTGTATCATACATCTATCTATATTAGGTCTATATTTTAAATTATAATTATATAGCCAAATCTGAGCATGAGGAAGGCTACAGCAGACAGTGTTAAAACAGTACTGTAGACTTTATAATTAGTGCCAAGGTATTGTCACTAGTATGAATTAGTAATAAATGAACGAGGCAATATTTGGCTAGCTTCATTGATAGTGGATTTTTAAAGCTCTGATTTTGGTTTGATTTGATTGGCTGGACTACCAATAGCTCTCTAGAACCTATTGGTAGTTTAATACAAATAGTTCCCAACCCTAACTAGAAGCTATTGGTAGTAAACTACCAAAAGACACTTTCTTTCGCAAACTTGTTTGCTGTGCCTAAGCCTAGTTAGGCTAGTAATTTTTTTTTAATACTTCATAAGATTGGACTTAGTGCCCTACTAAAATTTTTATAAGGCATATGAGTACATAGGTAAAACAAAACATTAAAATTTCAATAGGGCCTACAATTTTCATATCACAAATAATAATTCTCTAGGTATGTATGTATTGTATGATTGTAATGATGTGTTAAATTGGTTTCGCAAAATAAAATTCCCAGAACTTAGCACTAATTGGGATTCTTATATAGTGCGTTACTTTATTGCATATTTTTTTAATTAAATGTGAAGTTCATGCCTTGCCATCCCCATTGTTGGGCAGGTTATTTCTAATTTTATAATTATAAATATTTACTGAGTTTACTGTTACTAAAATTGTAGATATATTGATTGACCTGAAATCTGGTAAGCAATTAATTTTTAAAAAGAGTGATGCTTTTTTGTTTTGTTTGGCGACCCATATTATGCATTTGTGGTAAACACTGATTTAGCCTATTCTTTTTAAGTATGTATGTATGGCATCTTTCCGTCTGCGAGAGACGATAGATTATCTTTATAGCTTGCAGCTCTTGGTGTGGCTGGTGAGACCAATCCTCGAATGGCAGTCTCTGTTACATTTCCCACACACGAATGCGGTGGAGCAGTATTTACCGGCCTTCCTCCTCGCTCTTTTTGCAGCTGTTTCCGCCCTGTTTTGATCCTTGGCATGTAGTGATCCTGCCTTCACGATGCCCCGCCATGAGGATCGATCCTCTGCCAGCTCCTCCCAGTTTGAGATGTCGATGTTAGCCGACTTCATGTCTCTTTTGCATATGTCTAAGTATCTCAGACCAGGCCGTCCAACTGACCTTTTCCCTGTCGCCAACTCGCTGTATAGCATGTCCTTTGGTATGCGACCAGATTGCATTCGCTTGACGTGTCCAAGCCAGCGGAGGCGTCTTTGGATTAACATCCGACCCTGCGATGTGTACAAACAAACCCTGTCCTGTAGGCTGTTGGGGACTTTGTCTTGCCATTTAATGTCAAGGATGTGGCGCAGGCATCTGAGGTGGAAGCCATTGAGCCTTCTTTCGTGTTTAGAGTATTTGGTCCACGACTCGCATCCATACAGAAGTGTGCTCAGTACGCAGGCCTGGTACACCTGCAGCTTAGTTCTTGTTGTGAGTTTGGCGTGTGACCAGACTCTTTTCTTCAGTCTGGCCATAACAGTTGTGGCCTTCCCTATCCTCCCACTTATCTCATCCTCCATTGAGAGGGTGCTCGATATGTTGGATCCCAGATATGTGAATCTGTCAACAGTATCCAAGTCGTAGTCGTCGATGGCAATAGTGGGGAGGGAGTCAGCGCCCTGTGCCATAATGTTAGTTTTCTTTAGGCTAATTGTCAGGCCAAACTCTTTGCAGGCAGCGGATAGGCTGGATACGAGGCTCTGCAGGCCGTCAGCTGTGTGAGATACCAAAGCGGCATCGTCCGCAAACAAGAACTCCTGCAGCAAGACCTTTCTTGTTTTAGTCTTAGCTCTAAGGCGGGCAATGTTGAATAATTTGCCGTCATCTCTAGTGTGGATGTATATCCCCTCGCTGTTGTTCTGAAAGGCATACTGGAGTAGGATGGAGAAAAAGATTGCAAATAAAGTATATTTAAGTATATTAGTTAGAAAAAAAGAGATAAAGTTAAGTTATTTTTTCATAAAATAGGACACTGTACAGTTTGGTACTTTCTTAAAACGTGCTTATGTCGCCTGGTACATTGTGCATTTACCATTAAAGTATTTTTAAATTATCATTTTTATTTATATCTTATTAGTATGCTAACTATGTTTATTGTTTAACATATATGCACAGATGATTCATGAGGTGCAGGTGAGGAATCGCAGGGAAAATGCTTTTAGCATGGATGTAGGAAGAATTGAGACTAACTTGAAAAAAAATAGATACAAAGACATTTTGCCATGTAAGTTTCAAATAATTAGCCATTAATTATGAATAATTTTAATCGTTCAAATTGACCTTTAAATAAAATATTTACATATTATTAATTGTGCAATTTTAAGTCTAACATTTTAATATGTACAAATTTCAGATGATGAACACAGAGTAATTCTGAAACCAGTGGAAGGGGAAGAGGATTCTGATTATATAAATGCAAGCAAGCTAACCGTACGAACATTTTAAAAAAAATTATTTTTCAAAATACATTATTAATCAAATTACTTAAAAAAAATTTTTTTCTATGTTTCAGTCATAGGCTTGGATATTTGAAATAATATCTATCATATACAACGAATAAGGTTCAGTATGGATATTTTTTCACTAGTTTGCTTTGAAGCAAGTTCTTAAAGGTGTATTGGAAAGGAATAATATGATTCAAACATTGCAAATTTATTTTTTATTGAACTTTTTTCACATTAGGGTGTTAAAGGTACTGGAGGATACATTGCTAGTCAAGGACCATTAGCCACCACAGTCATTGACTTCTGGAGAATGATCTGGGAGTATAATGTTGAGATTATATTCATGGCTTGTCGAATTGTGGAGTTAGGAAAGGTAAAATTTAATATCTTTGGTAAATGCTTAATTTAAATTGGTTTTTACCTGTTAAAGAGTGCTTAGTCCTCCTGCTCTGATAATTATTGTGAATTTACTTACTGTTCATTCAACTTAGCTGCATGAATATTTAGGTAACATTTTTTAAAAAGTTATAATAGCTATGATGTTAAAAGAATTAAAATTTATTAAAAAAATTTAAATTAACATTTGTGTAGTAAGTGGTGGTTGTAAAACATTTGTTTTTGATAAAACATTTTAACTGTTGATTATGATTGTGTCTTGGGTAAGCAGTTATTAATTAATTATTTGCAGATTAAATGCAAGCAATATTGGAATGATGCTAATAAGTCTGAAGATTTTGGGGATATTTCAGTTTACACAGTAAGTAAGCATTTTTAGTCCTTAAAGGGAGGTGGGGGTGAGAAATGGGTGAAATTTTTCAAATTTTGAATATTTTTATATTTTTGTGTATTTGGTTTCATTAACCATTTCTTAATTAAATTATTTTATTTATTTTTGCAAAATTAAGTTAGAAAAACAATAAATTACAATTTTCCTGACCCTATCAATCGGCAAAAATTCAAAATTGTCCCAAAGTGTTGTGCTTTTACCCTTTTTTTGTGATTATTTGGAATCACCCAATCCCAACGCATTTGGTATGTTGGAAAGCTTGTTATTTCCTGTTTTAGATAAATATAGCTTTTTGCCATTTACGAAAGCAACCAAATCTTTCAATCACCAGACATTTATAGCAAAACATGATATTTATGCTTAAATTTAGGTACATTATGATGACCCCCCATGTTTTCATGCACAATCAGAGTGCATATGTGCTATATGGATTGCCCCATATGTGAAAATATGTTGTTTATTGCATACGTTATATATGGATGTCCCATTGTCCCATCAACTCTGGCATTCAAATTTGGCAACATTGACAAATGTGCACATTACATGGATGATTTTTAAAATTTTATCATAGGCGCTCCTTTTTCAAGACTACATATTTTTTTAAATGTATACTCAACTGCTCTGCACAGTGGCGTTAGATTTTGACATATTCTATTAGATCTAGTAAGTGGCATTTGAAAAATTTTGGAAGTCACTATGCAGCTGTACAAATTTAATACCCCAGTTTTGGTTGGTTCTCCCAATACAGCTTGCAGTTGTTTAGGACCACAATATTAACGGAAAATAAAATCAGGCTCCTAGCCTTAAATGCAGGGGTGGGCAATCTGCGGCCTGCCACAATGAATTTTGTGGTCTGCCGGATGTATCATAAATGAACTTATTTCTTCATTCAAATAGAGATTATTTTAAATGGTGGCATAAATGCACATTTTTTATAAATATATAAATCATTTTTTGTGAAGAATACACGCCATTTCTGTGTACATGCCCCCATTTTGGACTGATAGATTGAAAATAGAATGAAATAAGTAGTAAATTATAAAAAAACGATAACTATTTATTAACTACAAAAATTTTAAGTATTTATGTAAGCAAAGTCAGGTATGAGAAACCTAATTTTTCACAAGCGTTACAATTAAGTTTAGAATAATGCAAAACTATATTCAGGTATATGCTCAGCTTCCTCCCTACCCACACTTTTGTTTAGGTGACTCTGGCGGATGTCCTCAAATTCTGCTCCCCCACTACATCTTTGTTTATTAAAGTAGCAAATGATGGGCACATTTTTATTTGTAATAATGCACTGTATATAAATACATAAACATCAGTCATCTAATTTGAGAAGTGACCTTTATTAGACATGCGATGTGAATAATTATTATATATATATATTATAATGTTTGTTTATTTATTTACTATTAAAATATGGTATATACGATTTTGAGATAGTAAAGCACTATTCTGAGACTATATTGTACTATTTTGGAAGTTCCAGTTTAACCAGGGCTGCTTTATATTTCCTATTGATAAACTACTTTAAAACGTGACAGATCTCTCGTCACAACATAAGTGTAATGCATTGAAAATAAAATAAAAGTAACCTCAGGTGGAGGAGGCAAGAGAAGACTAACACAAATTACATTACAAGGCTTATCCTATGTTATTCACAGACAAAAAGATTAAGACTGCAGTGAAGTTGAAAGGAATATGAATATTTTCCTTTCTTCAACCATGTATCTATATCCAATGTGATTTGCAACATGATTATTGTTTAAATTTGATAACTGATTAGATATTACAATCTTGTGATCAGTCATTAGTTTTCTGGCTCACACAAAAAAATCGTATGCTTTTGGGCAATATACACATTGCAGCTCAAGTGGCTCCAAAGTTGTGTAATAGAAATCAGAGAAGTCACAGCTGTTAGTATTCATTCCATCATAGGACTTGAAGTACTGAAATTTTTCAACAAGACCAAGAGTTGCATTTTCAGCATACCTGGGCAATTGCGAATGACTCTTTGGAATTAAAGCTTAAATGTGGATTTTATTGTTTTGCACACTTTTTTAATGCTGAAACTCTCCAAAATAAGCAAATTATTATTTTTTTGGCAAAACAGAATAAAAGGTAAAGGCATGGAAAAGTTGAGTGGCTAGGAAAAAAGACAAAAAGGACCTGGCAAGGATAAAAAATGTCCACAACAGGCTCATAAATTTTTTAAAGTCCAGTCTGAATATAAATATCTTATTTTTCACTGATATTCTCATTGTTTTTTTCATTTTTCTTCATTATTTCAGTTTTCTCATTTTCAATATTTTTGGTCACCAATATCCCTATAACATTTTTATCCAAACCTCACATAATTTTCATAGTATGTTCAGTGACCAATAATAAACATTTATTAACCTAGAATTAAGATAACGTTCTTTGAAAAGAAAATAGGTTAAAAAGAATTCACCCAAACCCCTATCTTTTGAAGAAAAAACAAGAGTAACTTTTTGTGACCCTGTTGATTTCTAACTAGTTATTACATCAATAAGTCCTGTTATACAAAATTTTGGTATATGTTAAATAATTTATGTTTAAAATCTGATGGCAATAACTTTATATTTGTAAAAGCCTTGAAACACACCAAAAATAATACAAAAGGAGGAGTTTTTGTTACGGGTTACAAAGGCAATGGAATTTTTTATATTTTTTTGAAAACCTGTTTTGTACCCCCATTAAAATACCAAAGAAAGTGTAAGGTAAAAAAAAATTCCCTTTATGAAGCCAAACAAAACATTTTTTGATTTTTTCACCCTCACCTCCTTAAAATGTGTTTTTTTTTTTAGGACATGTCATAAGAACTTGTACTATTGGGGCTTTTTTTATTTAAACATTTTAAAAAAAAAAAAAATGCAATTTTACCTTTCCTCACTGCATATTGTTTTTTTTGCTTTTAATTTTTGTAATTGTTTTTTAAAAATTTTAAACCCTCTCCTCCTTAAAATGTTTTTTTTTTTTTAGGACATGTCATAAGAACTTGTACTATTGGGGCTTTTTTTATTTAAACATTTTAAAAAAAAAAAAAATGCAATTTTACCTTTCCTCACTGCATATTGGTTTTTTGGCTCTGAAGTTGTGGAATTGTCTTTTAAAAATTTTAAACTAAATTATTTACTTTACTTGTTTACCTAGAGATTGCAGCAATTTTATAATTTTACTATTTGAAAGGCTTCAAATTTAAACTTTTCTGTTAATTTTTATAGGAAATGGAAGAAGAAATAGCATCTGATTTTATACAACGAAAATTAAGAGTTACAAAAGGTGAAGAGACCCGGATGCTAACACAGTTTCACTATTCAGGATGGCCAGACCATGGAATACCTGATGACCCTGCACATATCCGAGATTTGATTGGCATAATGCGGCGTACAAGGCAAAATGATGAAGCTCCATTGTTAATCCACTGCAGGTACAACTTCTCTTCTATACTGTACAATTAAACCAAAATTTTAATAAAAAGTCTAATGCTCTCAGACTTACTGTACTTTTTTATTCCCTTTTTAAAAAAATATATATTTAATTTTTCTTATCAAATGATTTTATAAAACTATCTAGTTTCATTTGCTTTTTCTCAGTGCTGGATGTGGTAGGACAGGAGCAATAGCTGCCATTGATTATGTATGGACATTGTTAGAAGAAGGAGTAAGTTCACAAGAAACTATTATGAAAGTAAAATTTTGCCTTTGTAGTTTAAAGAGTTAGTTTGTTCTAAAATGCAGAGTTTAATGTGATCTTAATTTATTAATACTAGAAATAAAGCTTAAAAACTTAAAAGTCTGTGTTTGAGTTATACAATAAATATAACTAAAGGACAAGTAATTTTAAAAAATGTTTGAAGTTATTGTTAATAATTCCATCTTCTTTTCAATGAGGTTTAAAAACATAATAACCGTACCCATTTTTATTATCAAATATTTTATTTTCCAATTAGAGGTTTGATGAAAAATTCAACCTTTATGAACTTATCTGTAACTTCAGAGAACAACGGATGTCCATTGTTCAAACTGCTGTAAGTGTAATCTTTATAATCCTTCATTTGGTCTACTCAATCAGCACATAGTTTATACAAATCAGATTTCAGAAAGATTTTATTTCCAAATAATTTTGTTGAATTATGTTAGCATAATAATGCTGATTGCCATACATTTGAGAAAATGTTAAAGATCTGTTTAGAGTTTTAGCACTTTACTGAATATTTACAAGTGTTTGTAATAAGATTTATATAGCAATAAAATCATATTTTAAATTTTCAGTTGATACACTATCTTTAAAGGATTATTTTTTTTGTAAATAAATTGATAGCCATTTTGATCGTTACATTACATTACATTACAGTTGTTTATTAAAGAATTCTGATGTGTCTTCTGTGTGATTCTGTCCTTGAGTTATCCCCAATATTCAATGGCAAGTTTTTGTTGTTTTGTTATTCCAATAGGAACAATATGCACTTGTCAATCAAGTCCTGAAGTCTTTATGTGAAGAGTGGCTGACAAAAATGGCATCGCACACTTATGAAAATGTTGATCCAGTGAGTCACATTTATATCTAGCACCATAACCACTTGATCCTTTTGTCTTCGAAAATAACCTATAGTTTTAGAGTGGAGCCTATGTAATTTTTTTAAATTCTATTATTTTTGTTTTTTGGAAGAATTTTCTATCTGAAGCTTTTATTAAATTAACATCTAAGCAATTTAATAAATGCATCACTTTAAGATCATCTTAAATAGCAGATTTTCTTGCTGCTGGTAGACAATACCGGGTTATTTGGAAATATTTATTACAGATTCATAGATTTATTCAAATCAAACAAAGAACTTATTAAAATAAGGTATGAGGTAATTAAGAAGTTTTAACAGAAATTGACAAGGAAAAACTTGACCTAGTTGAATGACAAGTACTGGGGCCTGCAGTTACAATGTTTTCAATAAGAATAATAGCCCCAATGAATAGAAATACATTTACCCACCCCATAATAAACATCCCTCAGAAGGGAAAATTTAAATGAGTCTGCTTTATATTACTATAATTTTTTGATAAATGTTATTGTAACATAAGGATGGCAGACTCCTCTAAATTTGCCCTTCTGAGGAAAGGGCATATTTGTTGAGTTCATATTGTATGGCTCAGCACCCAAGATGGGACAAGCAGGCAATCATTTTGTGGGAAATTTAAGAGCAATTAACTAGGACTCCAATGATTATGTACAAGAACATGCACAAAAAAAAAAAAAAAAAAAAAAAAAAAAAAGAAGGAGGAAAAAAAAAAAAAAAAAAAAAAAAAAAAAAAAAAAGACATTAACAGAGATGAAATGTAACAGAAATGGGAGTCCATTGGGCTTTCTTTAAAGTTATTTTTTTAGTTATTATTATTTTTTAATGTGTGCCAAGAAAAACAACCACAAAAGGTTTTTTAATTATTTTCCACAGAAGGAAAGTGTTAAAAATTCTGAAGGTGAATCCGGTAAGTACTCAGTCATAAGAAAGTCATATTCATGCAGCTCTATTACATACAGAGATGCTTGATTGGATAGTTAAAACAAACATATTCATCTATAGATACACACATAAATTATTTTGTGATACTTAACAACTGTTTGACTCAATGAATGAAGCTCAGTTATTAATGATGAAGGGTGTACAGCCGAGAGGTAATCATCAAAGGTTTGAATGGGTTAGCATTCACTAAGATTGTATGTCAAGATAATTTGACCAACAGTAACATGAGGTATATTTATTTTCACTTTGTCAAGAAAACATTTACGACTTTGGAGAGTCACCAATCAACACTAAGGCGTCTGATCTAAAGGAAGGTAAACAAGGACCAGAAATTATAACCCTCCCCACTCCTAAGCCCCAAACAAACCAAAACTATGAGAATCTGATATTACGGAGCCATGCACCATCAGAGAAAGCACCTGCACCACCTCCTCCATCCAACAATAATCCTAAAAAGCCACCTCAGTCAGTAACCGTCACCCAGGTTGGATCATCTCCTCAGCACTTGCCACAAGGTGGTAAGGATACCTTTGAGAACTGTCCTTCCTCTGAGAACTCTGCCCTTGACAGCGCAAGCCTGCCTATTCCTCGCAATGAGGAGCAGCCTGCTAGTTTCATTTCTACTGCCGCAAATTCTAATCCCCGTTTCATTGATACCAGCTCATCTCCTAGCATTGCTACTAGCATCAGTAAAAGTCAAAGTCTTCCACTTAATGGTACTGCTGATACTGAAAAATCCAGCGCAAAACGAAAATCTTTTACACTTCCACAAGATCTTGTTACTAGACTATAGCTTACTTCAGATTAGTCTTAGACCTAGACTCTTTACAGAGCTTAATTTGAACACTATATGATACTTAAAATCTCATTGATATCCAGATTTATTTGTTTAGCAAGAACAAGTTCATGGTTTTTTATATTAAAGAAAATTATTTAAGCCAACTATCTTAGTATTTATTGTAATATACCGTATCAAGCAGAATTTTCACCCTTACTATTTATACTGTAGCTTGTTTAGAAAATGTAACAATTAACCAGAGATTCATTTTTATAACATCAAAACCCATCTAGAGTATTTTTACTACATCTCATATCCAACTAACTTTTTTTTTGCTTTTAACTTTGTAATAAACCCCTTTAAGCATGTCAGAAGATTGAAGTATTAACTTATTATTGACTTTTTATTTGTGGCTTCTTTATGGTTACTAACTTGACAATCTCTGCTTGCTGGTGCATTGCCTTCACAGATTTTTAAATTATCAAATTCCAAGTAGGTGCATGACTAGAAATGGGAACCGATGTTTCTAAAATAGTTTCTTTAGTAAATGTGTGGCATTGCCCTTGGTAGAAATAAATGGTTGAGGTCAGTCAAGTGACCAAACCCATTTCTTTATTTAGAGTTGTAGTAAGCACCAGTTTTATCCCACATTGTAAGTTTATGGAACACATTTCTGTGTGTACCAGAAATTTCATAGAATTCCATGTCAGGTCAGCTAGAAATCATCCAATATATTATTATTGGCCTGAGAGGTATTTGGTAGGGTTACCAGATGGATGAAAAATGAGGACATTTTATTTTGAAAGAGGACATTTCAAAATTAAACTAAATTTAAGATATATATGTTTGTTCTGAAATAAGCAAATAATTACAACATTAAAATAAGTTTTATACACACCTTTGACACTAATTAGGTTCCCCGGTATTTAAGCCTACTTCTCAGAGCTGGCTATTTTTTGAAAAAAGTTCTTAATTTCTGAAGTAGTTGTAAATATAAAAATTCCGAGCAAGACTTGTTCTTGAAATTGTACTGTGTGAATGTCAGTATTATTCCTTTATCTGCTGACTCCACATCAAGTTTATACCACTCCTTGGTCCATGGAGTATTTATCAGTGGAAAAAACCCTTTCCATGCTTGCATTAAAGAGCAGAATGCACAAATAAAATTCAATAAATTTTCAGTAATTTTCAATAGTGGGGCAAGATTTGAAAAAAAACGTCCATTGTTCATGCAGCCTATGATCTTCCTCGAATAACTTAATCTCTTTTTCTTCAGATTTGAGGAAGACGTCAGGTTACAAAATTGGTCATACAGTTTCACAATATCAATGATAACATCTCACTTTTGTAATAACTCAATACAAGGAATCAAATCTTCATATTTGTACTGACTGTGTTCTTTAAGTACCACCCGTCCAAAACACTTTAATTCACTTATTCACATAATTGTTGGATCCATGTTCCAATTATTCAAGAGATGCTTTAGAAACAATATGAAATTCTTGATACATGTCTTGATTTCTTCCTTCGAACCATTTATTTGAAGAACAAGCTACTTCACTTTAAGGGCGAAAATTTGTTTTTAATTATATTTTGCACCAACCGCAATATTGAATCTAAGAATTTCAAAATCTCCAGTACTGAGTTCACTTCTTGCTGTGCAGATGCCAAGTTGGCTTGAAACGGACATTAAAGAATGTGCCAAACACAAATATGCATTTTCAAGTATTTAGGGCGGCTGGTTTTTGGATAAAAAAATATGCTTTGAGAGCATAAAATAACTTTAAAAGTCTGTCTACCACTGGGAACAAACTCAGCGACCTTGTATTCTTATATTCTCATTAAGTTTTTCCAAGCCATAATTGCTAGTGACGGTAGCTATTGAAATGAACCTTAAAATTTGCAATGTCTCACCTTCTTTGAAATTTTGTGTCGAGCAATCACGTAATTTATAAAGTCTTCAGTCTTGGTTTTAGTACATGTCAAGTTTTGGGCAATTTTTTGAATCGTCGAATAATACTTGGGTTAAACTCACCATGTCATCTATTGGTTTGTATGACTTGTGATGTTTAATGGTATGAAATGCCAGAGTTCCGGCTCCTGCAATCGCATTCTGCAACAGCGTTAAAAGGCAGAATGGAGAAAAGTAGTCACTTTTAATGATGATGATGATGAAACTCGAATCATCTTCCTATGCCTCTCAGAATCGATGTGACCTTGTAAAGCAATGTAACCCTAGTTGCTGACATCAATGTGGCCATCACCTACAAGACATTTGGCATCATAATAATCACAAGTAAATTTTGTCTTTAAATTGTCGGAAAACTTACACTTCCTTTTTCTAGGAACTTATATCTTTTAATATTATATAGCAATCCTGTCTGTTATTATGATGTAGCAATCCTATCTATTAGTGTTATATAACAATCCTATCTGTTAGTATGATATAGAAATCCTATCTATTGGTATCATATAGCAATCCTATCTATTAGTATGATATAGGCAGCACAGTTAATTACAAAGAAGTAAATAATTCAAACATCACAAAAGCGAGTGAAATTATTTAATGAATGAAGTCCTCTCGTAAACACTGCACCATTCACTCAAATTAATACATTGTGAAAGGCAGGAATACTTGGTTATTTAACGGTGATGCGCATGTGTGTGAATCATTCACAGTTCCTTTCGGCTAACTAATTTCTTGCCAAAATGAAGTTATTTTTGATAGCGCGCTAGCGAGTTATTGGATACAGCAGTGAAGACAATAGTGTTTACGTGTAATGAAAGGTGAAACAATACTTTAATTTTTACACTGCAAAAAAATTTTTCAAAAAGGAAGACATGTCCTCCTTTTGGATACCATCTGGCAACCCTGGGTATTTGAAATGATTATTTCTTTCTTTAATTCATTATTTTTAAAATCTGTTTCTGACCACTCCACCAAAGTCTGATTTTATTTCATACATTTTGAAAATTTACCTAAAGAATATATGCTCATTTATTCTGATCCAGTGTTGGTATCTATCAGATTTTATCTTACTAGTCCCTTAACTTACAAATGTGAACAATTATTTTTTCTGTTTTCAATTTGAATATTATTTATTTAATTCTATTTAAGGAGACCACAGCCATATTTGTTGCAATTTTTCAAACAATTACTATAGACTATAGGTTACACTTTTGTTTGCTGCATATTTTTATAGCATGTTGGGTAAGTAGACCCTAACATGCTCATTTTGACTGTTAACATGTCATGTTTAGGGAAAAATATCTTGCAAAAGAAAACACATAAAAGACAGTAGATATTATATTTGAAAACAAACTTGTTTACATGAGAAACTTACAAAGAGCATAGGTTTATGAAGTTAAATGAGAATAAAATAAGTTAACAATTATTTTAAAAACGTTCTAATTGTACACATTTTAACTGTTCTTGAAATCTGCTGGTATTTCTGTAAAATAAAATGTGTTTTTTTTTTTTAAATTATTATTAACATTTACAAATTAACTATGAGCAATACACATATGAGTGGGAAATGTATAGAAAAAAACATATTTGGATACATAAAGACATGAAAACAAATAGGAATATTTGTAACTAGTAAGAATTTTGTTAAATGTAGGAATGTGTTCAAGCTGAATGAAGGAAATAGTGAAACAAGGTATGTTGAAGCTTGAAATGAAAAGGCATGGGAACGATTGGGTGAAAAGCTTTCTTCAGTAGACAATACAATACAAATACACTCTTACTAGTGGTCCTTATTTCCCTGTAATCTTTTCATTTATTATTACTTATATTTTTAATATATTTTTGTCTGTTAAAATGTTAAATTTCACATTAATGAAACCATTAATACTTTTACTTCCTGCAATATATGGATAGTACACATGTTTTGGTTTTGGAAACCTAACTTCCGTGAATAATATAGCACTTCCACATCTACCATTTCCCTCCAACATGGCAACTCCAGACACAGAAGTTTTTGAACTCATTTATGTTTCTTTGTCGTTTCTTGTATTGTCTTGTATGTTTAAGAAGGCTTTTAGCCTAAATGTTTTCCATTTTGTCATGTCTTTTCATTTCAAGCTTCAACATAGCTTGTTTCACCATTTCCTACATCAGGCCCGAATTTTTTCTAAATTGCAATACAAACTATTCAATAGTTTGAAGGGAGAACATAAGATAACAGCAATTGTTTGCACACCAATGACTTTTGTTCCTTTTGGTTTTTTACTGTTTCATATGTGTAATGTAAACCTGTAAACTGTACAACCTTATGTCCATAATGTACATATGTACACCACAACTTTTACGTCAGCTCATATCAAATGTTTCGCTGTTTTTGTATTGTGTAATTGACTTGGGTTATTCTTGATTCTTGATTTTGGTTCATTATATTTGCCCTGTCTTATGTGTACATATTTTTTTTAAAATCCAACAAGTGGTCAGGCCGAATTTACTTTACATTCTGTTTTTTTTTAGTTTCGTTGTTTTTGGTTATTATTTAGACTTAAATTTTACAAATATAAATGGGGACTACTCCATACATTTTTGTTGGTATTAAAATTTATTTGTGACATATGTCATCTATTGTTTGGCTATTCTTAAAATTGACTTTCCAATTTTAGACATCAGTGGAGACTTACAAATTGATTGGTTTTTGTAAAAAAAAATAATAATAATAAATTTGGAATGGATTTTGTGTAAATTTCAAAGAAATTGAAAAACCTTGGAATGGTAGGTTGTTTAACACAGGCGATTAAGTATTGTAACACATGTTGATCAAATGTCTCTCATAAAGTACCTATGATGAGCTGAAGATAAGAATGCCTGCGATGAAGGTGCCACTTATTTACCATCTTATGAACTTGTCAGTGTTGGTTTAGATAAAAGTTATTGTCTTATGAATATTTCAACCAACTTGTGTTACATTAATATAGAGCATATGGCTGAATTTGCTAAGGAAGCAAATGTTTTTTTTCCCCACTATACTCTAATAAGATTTTTCCTTATTTGCTTTGGATTTTTTGGGGGTTACTTAAACTGTTTGTAAACTGCCTAAAAATTCCTCATGTTTAAAAGAAGATTCAAAGTGTAACAAACAAAAGTGTGGTCAAGCTTTAAAAACGACAGAAAAAAAACAGAAGTGTACACAAGAAATTAACCTTCCAATTTAGTCAAATAGAGTTTTACTACAAGAATGCGAAAAGATCCTGCCTTCACATGGCTTGGATAGTATCCTTGATATTAGTTGTTTTCAGCCAATCTGTTAATCTTACATGTAGGATAACAATAGCCATTTTTTTTTCCTTAAGGTTTAGGATAACACAAGCCAATCTGTTTTTTCTTACAGTATAAGATAACACTAACCATTATGTTTTTTCTTACAAGGATAACAAAGGCCAATCTATTTTTTTTTACACTATAGCATAACACTAGCCAATCTTTTTTTTTTCTTAGAATGATACCAACCAATCTGCTAATTCTTACAGTATAGGATAACACTAGCCTATCTCTATTTTCTTAAAGTATAGGATTTTAGTAGCCAATCTGTTTTTTTCTTAAGAGGATAACACTAACCAATCTGTTTTTTCTTACATTATAGGATAATACTAGCCAATATATTTTTTCTTAAAGTGTAAGGCAACACCAGCCTTTTTTTTTTCTTAAGTTATAAGATAACACCAGCTATGCTGCTATTTCTTACAGTATAATATAACACCGGCCAATCTGTTTTTTTTTCTTCTTACTATACAGAATAACACTAGCCAACTTATGGCTCCATGTTCAAACAACCACTTTTTATCCTAATTTAACTTCATGTTTCATCAGTGCAATATTTACTAACCTTGTCATTTTAGCAACTATTTCTTTATTTACTTTGTATCCCAATGTGTAGAATAACTAAATTTGAGGAATGGTCTCTGTGTATATCTTTAAGACTATTTTTGAATGAAATTCTGATACCTTTAATCCTCTTTTTTTTTTTTTTCAACCACTTGGTCATTTGAACAATAATGACTTTTTGTTGCATTTATTTGACTAGATATAACCTTTTTGTGAAACAATAATTTGTATTAACCTTACACAAATAGATTTTATTTTCTGATGTAGATAGTACCTTATATTTCATTGATCTCTATGCAGTACTGAGCAAGTTTAAGTTTGATTATATTAGCAAGTCTTTAATCCAATAATCTAAAATAGTTTAAAATAAGTTTTTTTAATTAAGAGAGGCAAAATTGAACAAATTGATCTATATAAATATGGGCTATCTACTGATCATAGAGAATCACAGCAGTAACACAATTTATCACCCAGAGCCAGTCCCATTTTTTAATGAGTAAATTTTTTATAATGACATATCATGAAAAGATGATATTTTAATGAATTTTAAGGGACAAATGTGGTGGAAATAAATATGTCACTTTGAATTCCCTTAATCTCCTATAATCTGTTAATTATATCATTTAATTATGTGAACATCATAGCACAGGTTTTATATCACTATTTTACAATACATTTTAACAAATTGACTTCATTTTAAAAATCTGAGCAAATTTAAGATAGACAGTTAGAAATTGTGACCCAGTTGAAGACTAAAAATAGACATATTTGATTGTTAGTTGTTCCGTGACATTGTTTGTTTTGTTTCTATTTGTTAACGATTCATGCAAAGCAATCTTTTCTTGTCATATCTTGACCTACATACTGGAGAAGTTTTTTTCAGTCTTATAAGTGGTTCCCATAGTTCGTCATATAGGTAGGATTCCTAAAACTTAGTTTGCTATCACTTAGACACTGTTGGGGATCAAACTATATTTTGAAAAAAAAATGTTTTTGAAAAAATCCACATGCATACTGTATTTATAGCCAAAAAGACAGGAAAATACATTACCATCATTGAACTGAAGCAGAATTTTAATCACCATAATCTTAGTATTTCAATGGTCCTGCTTTTGGCTTATAAGTTGGTCAATGTCTGGTTCCACAATTGCCATTGCTAGTTGTATTGAGTGATGCATGTGTGCAGCAGTTTGTCTGGAATAGTTGGAGATTTCAGATGTTTCAATGGGGAGAAAGACTGTTCACAGATATATGTGCTGCTAAAGATGGATGCCATTTTGAGTACATGGCTCCTGAGATTGAGAAATGTCTCAGAAGGGACATATGCATAGAAATTAGTAAGGCTGGTTTCATCCAGGTTAGGGCTGCATAGTGTGGATGTGCTGTCTTTACAACTGGCTGTGTATTTCCAACTGCAGCGCTGTAATGGCCATTTTCACAGTTACCCGTTCACAACTTTACTCCCCGGGTACCTCTACCGCAGTCGGGCGAGGCGAGTTAAGGACTTCTGATCGGCTGAATCTGATCCGTGGGCCATAGTTTGAGGACCCCTGACAGGTGCTTTCAGCATTTGCCTACCTTCCTATATAAGTTAATCGTGCACCACTGTATGTATGCATTAGATTATTTTTCAAGTTATTATTGTTACATTTGAGATAACAGTTCTGAAAGGATAAAAACTTGAGCTTTGGACTGTCAATAAAAGCTTTTATTAACCATTCCAAATATCTGGCAATGTGCAGTTAGTTCCCTTTGGATCTGAGTGTCATGCCATGTTGAATAATGGCTCAAAAGTCTTTTTTTTTTCCTTTTTCTGCTCAATTGTACACATATTTTTGTAACAAAACCACCAATATAATTTTTTATTTACCTTAATATATATGATTTGCATTAGCCTCATTTAAAAAGCTGTTGTTTTTATAGTTTATTTTTTAATTAATTTTATGTGTGGGTAAAACTCTTGTCATACTTTAAACAATATTTGAGTTCCCTCTTGTGAAGACTTTCTGATGTATGACTTCAAATAACATCAGATAGTTTTCTCATCCTTATGTTTCTTCAGTGTGCTGCCATGCCATCGGTCATGTTTTTTGCTAGTGTGATATAGACCACACTTTAGGGTGTGTCTGGTTAGTTTTATCTCATCTAACCAAAATCTGTTCAGTTTACCTTTGAGATTTGATCACATTCAAGTTTTTTATTAAATGTTTAGACATAATTTTGAAAGTGTTCATGTATTATTTTTTTTTTAAAGTTTCATAACAAAATTTTATCGAATAAATTGAATGGTTACATTTCAAGTCAATTAAATTACAGTGACAACTTTTTATTATTAAATCAAAATATTTTTTACACACTTAAATTGCCGGCATCGAAAATTACGTTGTCAGTTAAACAGTTGTTGAAAGTTAATTCAGTGGGCTCATAACCTTGTGTTATATCTAATACAAAATTCCATGGGTATTCTTTTTTATTTTTGTAAAATCCACTGGAGATGGTTTATCATGATACATTATATCAGTAGTAAATTATATACTTCTGAAGTACGCATTTAATACTACTGTAAAACAGTAGAGTCATCCTAAGGTGTAGCATGCAAAGTTAACTAAATGTAACATGGTGCCTGTTCTTTTGAAATCACTCAGTAGGATGAGGATCTTTTGACTCGGCTTGGCTTTCAGTACAGCAGTCTGATGTTGAGATGCATTGTCATATTGACAGAATGATTTAACGATGTTTTGCCATCACGTCGACAGAATGATGTAACGATATACTGGTACTGCCACCATGTGGATTGTGGACAAAATGATGTTGAGTTGTATTGCCATCATCTTGACAGAATAATGATGTAGAGATGTATTGTCATTATGTTGATCTCCTAATGTAATAGTCAGAAATTCTATCATAAATAAGTATAAAAGGTTTGGACTGTGATGTAGCTTTTTAGTAGATTGAGACACAACGATTTTGTGTAAATTTTTAAAAAACATAATATGTTAAGCTTTAATTATGATGAGACAAAATACAAATTCAAATTTTTTGACAAATACCTTCATCAGTACAACAAAAAACAGTAAAATAATTATAACCTAAATTTACATAATACATGCATTATCCTACCTTTGCCTAAAAATGAAAGAAAAGGAAAGCATAAGAAAGGGCACGAGTACCTAATGAAAAAAAAAAGATCAGAAGACCATAAAAAGAAAGTGTGTGGAAGTACAAATTTAAAACCAAACAGGAAAAAGACTATGCAGCTATGTAAAATTGTGAATTTGGTTTATATCGTATGGGGTCAACGCACCAAATCTTTTTATTAATTTGTTTTCCATATAAATTCTTTCAGGTGTATTACTTGCATACAATATACCAGTCGTTATTGTTAGCACTATTGAAATGTTTAGAAACAGGACAAAGAGCTTGTTTATTCAATGTTTATTAAAAGTATTCACTAAAGCAGTCTCCTAGGTGACAGCATGTCTCCCCTACATATGATTTCCCACACTTTTTACAAAGGATTGTGTAAATCACGTTGCGACTTGTTTAGGTAAAATCATCTTTGATTCTGAATACTTCCAGAGTGAAAGCGATCTTATCAACTTCAGCCACATAAGGACATGTGTTACAATGGCTACGGTTGTAACTTTTGGTGCCAATATGTGCCAATATGTGCTTTAATAGCAGGGAGGTGGCTTCTAACAACCATGTCCCTAAGGCTCTTGTCCCTCTTGAAAGCGAAAGTGGAGAGTTTTGAAAATCAGATTGGTGACAGTGTCTGCCATAAGGATGGACCGGTTTTTAGAGGTTTTTAAGAACTAGATGAAGAGCCATATGGTTGTGGGGATGAAAGGTTATAATGAATTTAGATTTATCACCACTTTCAGAATGACGACTGCTTCTAAAATTGGCTCAGTATATAATCTACATTAGAAAAAATCCATCAATTCCACTGTTCTTTCCGAATATCCTCATCATTGCTGCAAAGTCTTCTAGGTCTAAGCAAAGAATAGAAAGAAATGGAATTCTTGCATAGAGGATGAGAGGATGAGTACAGCAGGAAACTGTGACTTTCTTTTGTTTTATTATAAATGGATGCAGATATTATGTTCTTGTTTAAGTTAAACCACAAATGACTTCATTGGGAATTTTCATCTAATCAAATTAACGTCAACAATTCATAAAAGTACTGACAATTTTTTGGACATCAACATTAACTTAAAAACAAGTTATTAGGTTTAGGTTGGATACTTTATTAATGTTTTGTTGTACTAATGAAGGCATTTATACAGTCCTGTATTAAAGCTTAACAGTCATAGTTTTATTTGACACACATTTTAGTGTTTCATCAATCTGTCATAAATAGGTCATGTTTTTATGTAATGATATATTTTAGTTTGTTTTTCATCCGATTAACCATGCAATTTTTACAGCTTTTCTAAAATATATGTGTTTGGTTACTTTTTGGTTTGAAAGAATTGCTGTTTTAAAATGTAAATTATTTTACTCTGATGTAACTTAGTCAGTGTGTACATTTTAGTTTCTGTTTTCTTTTCATTGGGCTTACTAATAATTTATGTTTCATGTGACTTTAAAACACCTGTATAAAATATATTGATCATAGATTAAATAAATTAAAAAATCTTCTATAAATATAAATCATTTTAGGTTTTTTATTGCAATGGTTCCTTCCCATTTTATGCAATACATCTTGAATCTACTTATCATATTTAGTTTTATTGTATTTATTAATTATCTGGTCAACAGAATTCATGATTATTCTTATAGGGACTATGTAGCTCAGTTGGGCACCTACATTTTCTGATTTAGAATTATTCATCATAGTAGGCTCGAATTTTTTTTTTTTTGTGGTTAAGAATTTCTAGAAAATTAGTTTGCTTTAAATTGAGGGTTAAAATATTGCTTAAGGTTGATATTGGGCTTTAAGACAGATATTTTTGTCCTTTGGTTTATGTCATTCAGTTTATAAGCATCGAAAATGCAATTACTTTATTTTAATATTTACATTTCTTTAACTTTGGATACTGGCAACCTTTAATGTGATTTTTTTAAAGTCGTACTTATATAATTAAACAAAATGCTCATTAAACAAAATGGTCATGAAACGAAAGGGTCATTCTTGTCACAATCTGTCATTCAACCCTTTCAACTTTAAATTGCAAAAAGTGTGTTGATATATTGGCTATTGTATAAAGGTTATTGCTAATTATTGGTAGAATTAGATCTGTCATGTATACAGAAATATATACTTTGAATACCTTGTTGCCTAGGAACAAACAATTCAGTTGAACACCATTGATCATGGCATTGCTTCCTTAAAATGTGTCTCCTATAAGTGTCCATGAAATTATTGTTCCTTTCTAAATATACTCACATCCTATGCTTAGCTCCCTTTGATCAGCACTTTGCAATCTCTTTATGTTTGATTGGTGACCATCTTTCTCTTTCTCTGAAATTCATGGCCATTTTTTTTTTCTCCGTGACTGCCTGTAACTTTGTAGATTTAACTTTTGCTATTTCCACAGCCATGGTTGATGAGAAAAATTTTTATATTAGATAACAATTAATTTTGTTGAAAACATTTGTCAGTTTGTTGTGTTAAGAATTCAGTGTATTTTCAACAGCTCTGTGCATGATGATTGTTACAGTGAAACTTTGTTAGTCAGTTACTCAAGCTGTGCCCATTAAAATGTGTGTAACTCTTAATTAAAGTTGAAGCTTTACTCCCATAATGTCTTTTGTTGTGATTGCCTGATGGGATAAAGCTGCTGTGAAGTTGATGTCTATAAAAACTATTTAGAAATGAGAGGGTGATGATAACCGATGAAATTACCGGGTATGTGGAGCAAAAGAGAAAATATGTAAGATAACATTGTCAATAGTCAAGAAATTGAGCATTTTACAAAAACGAAACTGGGGGAGGGGGTGGGGTTGCCGCCATAATATTTAGTGTCAGCAGAGGATAGTTACCACACAATTTTTGCTTTTTCTTTTTAATCCTGTCTCTTTCTGCCAGAGCCTTGATTATATTGCTTGCATTGGTTGCTTTCCCCAATATTAACCTATGACTTGTGCTTTAGTTTTGATGTCAGATAGAAGCTTCAGAGCCGTGCACCTGCTTCCTATGGTTTTTCTGGCTGGTTTCTTTTATATATCTGTATTGCTTGGAATCACTAAACACTCATCCTAATTAACTTTATAGTTGATAATTTAAGAAATTCACTCTTTCTCATTTCAAGTCATTTTTATGTGTTATAATTTTATTCAATAAAATGAACATTAAAATTAAAAAATACGCTCAATTCAGATAATCTGAACTTAAAAGTAAAATTTCAAATATTTCTTTAACCCCATTACTCACGGCATAGGTTTATTTGCTAAAAATATTAACTTTTACATTACGGATTTAATTTACTGAAATTATTTAATGTCATTTGCATAAGAATATCTTTCCATTTTAAAAACATTACTTACATTTATTTGTGTAAAATTATTAAGTTCAATTTCAGTTTTAGTTCCTTTCACAGTCAGTACCAGTTTGGTCTTTTATCAAATCTACTGGCCAAATTAGGGATGGAAGTTAAAAGTAATGAAAATAATAATTTGAAGAAACAGAAATGCTCTTATTATGAGTAGATCTTATACAATCTTTATATCTGGAAAAGCAAGCGAAACAATAGTCAGCAAAAGGTTTTAAATTTGCTTACATTTTTAGGACTTTTTTTTTTTTTTTCATTTGACAATTTCAGTAGAAGCAGATAAAAACTAACACTTTTCTGGTCAAACATAAAACAATGAGCATAACCCCCAAACAACATCTTGGATATGGTAAATAGAGAAAAATATGATTCTGCACTGGGTCGAGGTGAACTCACACTTGTATCATCCCAGATCACTATGCAATTCATGAATAACTGCTACAGATGATAACAACTGCAGATTTACTTATTCATGAATAATGCTGGCACCAAGGCTAAAAGTGAAAAATGTTGCAAAATTTATGATTGGCCCGGAAAGTTTAACACATGTTAATTGTTGTTAAAATCAGTTTTGATAACAAATTATTGTATAGCAGGGGTTGGCAACTTTTTAGTATATTGAGCCAAAGTAGGTTTTCTAATTAATTCAGCTGCAATAAACCTATAAAACTTCCCTTTAAAAAACTAATTTTTATAGTTATCTGTTATTATTTTTTGGAATGACATTCAAAATCGCTCAGTGTGCCAAAGATAGCCAACCACTGTTGTATATCATTTATTAAAACCATCAGCACATTGAGACGTGTGAGAGCCACTGCTCAGCCTCAATGACAACTGAGAGATGTGAGACTAAAAAGACAGGTTAACAGGGCAGTGAGCTGAGAGTTGTAATTGAAGGACTGAGTTTGTAAAGATATTTTGCTATTGGCCTTTTGGCGCAATTTTAACATTGTCTGCCTCTCGACCATAGATTTGTAGGTTTTAAATTCATTGGAGATTTCCCCAGATACGGATATATAGCCAGGTGGAATATACACTTATAGACAGGTGGAAGGGACACTTATGCCAAATAAAGCAGTTATTCTTGGGGAGGAGGTCAATCCTGAGTAAAAAGATTTCAACTAACAATGCGCAAAGCAGCAACCAACTTTGCTGGGGTTTAGAATTTCTGACACATGAGATAAATTTTATCACATTATAAAAAAGAAGTACCAGTTTTTTATATATGGTATAATGGACATATTCCCTTCATTATGGCCTAAATTATATAGTCTGAGCTGGAAGGCAGTTAATGGGATTGAGATAAGTTATTTGAGGGAGATGAGTTTAGTGATATGTCTTTGATTAGAGGGATAGTGATAAGACTGTTATTAATAACTATTGGTCCAGTCATACAAAGGAAAACGGTAAATAAATTGATTATATTTGACAAACCATTCATCATCTTTACCAACTTCAGACAAGTGTATAAAAAAAACTGGTAGTAGCACTAGTAGAATTAATTAATAACAAGTATTTTTTTGTTTTCAAAGTCAGAAAATACATTTTTTAAATTAACACGTAAATGATTTATTCTTAGAGTGTTATAGTTAAATTTCGAAAGTGAAGCCCAGTAACATATATTTGAGTGCCATCAACAGGATTGAATTATGTGAAGACGCGGGCAGCACCAAAACCAGAAAAGTCATTACCTAGTCAAAGAACTTCATTGAAAAAAGAAATTTCACCAAAAGGAGAAATTTATGCAACTGTAATCAAACCAACAAAGCCAGGTACAAATAAAACTGAGGCATTGACAGAACAACCACCAGCAAGTGGTCCCATATATTCTGAAGTTAACAAACAACCACCAGCAAGTGGTCCCATATATTCTGAAGTTAACACACAACCACCAGCAATAGCTGACATATATTCTGCAGTAGACAAACAGCAAACAAGTGCACAATTTTCTATGCCCACGATTCCTCCAAAGACTGTCCCGCAGGCAAGTTACATAAATTTGTCAATATGTTAGTTACATGGGAATATTTTTAAAAATTAAGTTGGAAGAAAATAATTTAACCAGGAATATATTTTAAATAATTTTTTTATAGATAAATCCCAAAATAAGAATTTACCAGTCGTGAAAAACTTTTTTTTTCATATTAAACAATATTCTAATAATTTAATTTCCTTACGCTTACATTTGTTATGCTGGTAAAATAATCACCACTTGTGACTTAATTAATAAATAAAATAAAACATTTAATTACCCTTTCTATTTTAATTTTTGTTAATAGATTTTTTATAATAGAATTAATATTTAAAGTTAAATGAACCATAGAAAACTTAATCACTCAAAATATTAAATAATTAAACAAAAAACTAAATTGTTTAAAATTGAAGACCTAAATGAGGTGTGTTTAAGTATGTTCAAGAAACTCCCCATCCCTCTATAAAATACATTTTTTCAAACTTACAAATGTTAGATTGCGAAAACTCCAGACATTTTGAGCAGACAACTTTATTTCCTGCATAAAGTACTTTAAGAAGATTAGTTTAAACAGGGTGGGAAAGAAATAGAATATGTTTATTTGGTCTATCCCTTTCAAAAACCAAAGTAATTTTAAGTACGTTATTCAGTGGAGAGCTGAAAAATCTTTTAAGAGAATCTTTTATCATGAAATTTCCTTCCCAAACATAAAAATATTTTATAGATATTAGAACTCTAAAAAAAAATATATTTAGGGCTTTTAAATTTCATAATACTTAAATTAGATATCTATTGAAACTTGCATAATGCTAAATTTAAATTAACGGATATTCATTAGGGCAGACCAATAAATTATTACTGCTAAATTTTATCCAACACTGAAATAGTTACAATGTTTCAAGATCCTTAGCTGATTAAAAAAAATTGCTCTGTCACCAACGGATCATTTATACATCTGTAAGTCCTGATCAGACAAGTAACAATTCATTTCTTTGTCTTCTTTTTCTTCTTTTCTTCAGAGAACTGGAAGTCCTCCAGGTGATGCTTTTTAAAAAATGGCATAGTTTTAATATAGATGTTTTATATATGATATAATGTTAGGTTACTCAAATACAGTAATATGCAAAGTGTGCATTTTGTTAACCAACACTTATTTTTTTTTTTTAAATCTAAAATAATTTGAAATATTACAAGCTAATTATTTGTACTGTTCATAAGAGATTGAAAGTCTTAGTTTAAGTAGCTAAGTATTAAATAAACAATGCAAAGTTTTGAGTTATAGAAAAATGGCGCATACTATTAATTGTTATGCAATTCAATATGTTATAAGTTATAAGACTTGAAATTTTCATCCAAAAGATTGTTTAAAATATGCAAAACTATCTTTGGATGACATCAAAAAATTATTTAGTTTGTATGGTATCACAAAAGCATGTAGTTTATTATTACCAAGTAAATGGGGCAAAAGTGTGTGTGTGTTGGGGGGGGGGGGGGGAGATCAATTTTATTTTTGCTTAAAAGCTTTTAAAATTTATAATCATATAAATTGCTAATTCTCTCTTATCTATACTGTATTACAAGGTCTCCACTTAATATATCTCTACTGTAATACAAGATCTCCAACTGTTAAAATCAGTCTCCACTTAACATATCTCAACTGTAAAAGGAGGTATCCACTAAACATGAGTGCAGCCAAGAAAAACAACTTTGATTGAATCGTAAAAGACTAACTACAACTTAACATTCACTTTCTTCTCCCTGTTAGTGGTGGCTTGTGGTGGTAGTATAGCTTTGTTATTATGAGATGTGGATAGCCATGCACGTAGTGCCTGTAGTATGTTTTACTAGTTAACAATTTTAAAAATCAAGTCATTCTCATTTGCTGAACAGATAGGTAATATATCTTTTTTTGCATTCCAGGTTTTCTTGAGAGACTGCCCAAAGTGAGTGGACCAAAACCTATGCCTTTGGCCTGGACCAGCTCATAATAATATTATATTTGATGAAAGCTCAACAAAACTTGATTGACTTTTTACTGGATAGCTTTATTTAAAATACTGCTTTAAATCTTTAAGTATTGGCAATGTTAAATTTAATATTTTGTGTTTTCCATTTATTGTGATAAAATTTTGTTAATTTAAAACTTTATATTACCATTAAAATATTTTAATGTGATGATTTTTTTTTATGTGGGATCATTAGAAGAATTAGCAAGGAATTGCACAACCATTCTCTAGTCTAATTTTAAAATATTTTTATAACAAAAAGATGTTAAAATTTAGATAAAAATTTAGAGTTTCTAAAGAAAACTAAAAGCTCAGCAAGAAATATAAGTATGGTCAGTGGCATCTTGATGGAATATCAGTCTACTCTAACAGAAATGAGCAAATGGTTGTGGTGTGATGGGGTACTCCATTACAATTATAGAATACCTAAAGTGAAAAGAAGGTATTGAATTTAAAGTGGGAGACTTTACTTTCCTTAAATCACCTGATGTTTGCACAGGAAGTATGTTGAACCAAATCGACACCAATGAACTCAAGCTTGAATGCAATCTTTAATTTTGTTTTCTTTTATTTGAATCATTATTATAATACATAAAACTAGAAGTAGTAGAAGTCCATCTGATTCTGTCATCAACTGTTGAGCATCACAAGTTTGCCTGTTTACTTTGTTTTTGTTTTTTTTAAATTGTACAAAAACCTTAAATTTAATGTTACTGTACTAATTTTTATTTAAGCTTTATTTTAAAAATATACCGCTTCATTTAGCAATGTTTGGCAAGTGCCTTGTTCTTAAAATTACTAAAATTGAAGACTTCTAACATCAAGATAGAATCATATGAAACCCTGAGTAAAAATAAGTCTTTGGATCTAAAGGGAGATAAGCTGATTGTAGGTTATAGAGCCATAAGTAATCACAGTAAATTACATCCAATCGATTTTTTAAAGCTGAGATAATGAAATTCAGTGTTCTAAGTACAATTTGCAAATTAATTGATCTGAAATTAAAGACAGAAAATATTTTCTTCATAGCTCACTAAAATAACTTAAAATATATTCATTTAGATTCCTATAGTGTTTTAAAATGTTGCTATATATTTATTACTAAAGGTGAAACAATGGTCATGTATTTATAATTTATGAAACAACTGTATCTTTTGAAATAAAAAGGATTTCTCACTTTATTATTCTAATATATTTTCCTGTTATTTTATTCATGCTGAATGAACTGGATAAAAATTGAATAGGTGGTTGACATTTCAGCATAAATACCCAGAATAATTCAATACATGAACCAGTGGAAATTAATGACAGAGTGAGGCTGGTTTATGACTTAGGATTTTAATGCCTCAGTAGTATTTTCATGTGCTGCTATTGGCAGAATTTTCATGAGTGTTGCTATTGGCACAATTGAAGTAGGTGAACACAAGTGGAGAAATGAACTTGATCAAAAAAATATATAAGGGTTATTTCCTTCATATAAAATTGAGTTGGAATTGCTGGGTTTTATTGAGTTAACAAAATGGCGTTGCGGGGGGGGGGGGGGGGGGGGTTTGAATGAGATGACCAATGGCTATAATCCTGTTGAGTCATCACTCAGTGGGTGGTGCTGGCCTTGAGAAACTTTGCACCATGAATGATAGGGCTATCGACCAGAGGGCACCATGAATGATAGGGCTATCGACTAGAGGGCACCATGCATGGTAGGACTATCGACAAGAGGGCATCATGAATGATAGGACTATCGACCAGAGGGCACCGTGAATGATAGGGCTACAGACAAGAGTCCATCATGAATGATAGGGCTATCGACCAGAGGGCACCATGAATGATAGGGCTATCAACCAGAGGGCACCGTGAATGATAGGACTACAGACAAGAGTCCATCATGAATGATATGGCAATCAACAAAAGTGCATCATGAATTATAAGGCTATCGACCAGAGTGCACCAAGAATGATAGGGCTATCGACAAAAGGGCATCATGAATGATAGGCCTATCGACCAGAGGGCACCGTCAATGATAGGGCTACAGACAAGAGTCCATCATGAATGATAGGGCAATCGACAAGAGGGCATCATGAATTATAAGGCTATCGACCAGAGTGCATCATGAATGATAGTGCTACAGACAAGAGTCCATCATGAATGATGGGGCTATCGACAAGAGTCCATCATGAATGATAGGGCTATCGACAAGAGGGCACCATGAATGATAGGGCTATCGACAAGAGGGCATCATGAATGATAGGCCTATCGACCAGAGGGCACCGTGAATGATAGGGCTATCGACAAGAGGGCACCATGAATGATAGGGCTATCGACAAGAGGGCATCATGAATGATAGGCCTATCGACCAGAGGGCACCGTGAATGATAGGGCTACAGACAAGAGTCCATCATGAATGATGGGAATATCGACAAGAGGGCACCATGAATGATAGTGATAGGGCTATCGACAAGAGGGCATCATGAATGATGGGCCTATCGACCAGAGGGCACCGTGAATGATAGGGCTACAGACAAGAGTCCATCATGAATGATAGGGCTATCGACCAGAGGGCACCGTGAATGATAGGGCTACAGACAAGAGTCCATCATGAATGATAGGGCTATCGACCAGAGGGCACCATGAATGATAGGGCAATCGACCAGAGGGCACCATGAATGATAGGGCAATCGACCAGAGGGCACCATGAATCATAAGGCTACCGACACTGCTATGAACCATCCTCTTCATAATATTTACAAATAAATTGGTCACAGCCACATGCACCAAAATCGTTATGGTTACCTGGAAAAAAAATTGTTGCCTGACATATTCCAAGAACTAATTTGTTGTAGACATGAATGAACCCTTGAGAAGTTTGAACGGATGCAAACACAAGATCTAACAAGCAAGTGTGCAGGATGTTAGCATGTTAACAGCATCGTTAAACCGCTTGGCACGGATCTACAAAAAGAAGGAAAAAAAGAAAGAAATTCGGGAATTCTGAACCTGAGATATTTTACTTCCTGCTGTAAGTTACTGTAAGAGTTTGTTTAACAGTCCCAAACTGCTGCGGACTCCACGTGAAATAAACACATGTATGTAATATATTTCCATGCCAATTGCTATATGAATGCGCCACTGCCCAACATCCTACAAACGAAATGCCTATCTCGCACTCATCCTTCAACTACTAGAATATGGTGCGATCATCTGCGAACCATTCCTGAAACAAGACGTGGAAGAGATGGAGCGAATCCAACGTAACGCAGCGTGCTTCATCGCACGTGACAACAAATCCACCACCCCTGGCTTCGTCACTGACCTCTTAAAAAGATTTGACATCTCCTCCTTCAAAGACAGACGAGAAAAGCCCCACCTAAAATATTCCCATATAAAGTGGTCCCAGGGCTATTGCCGGCCATTCCAGCTAACACGTATCTCACCCCGTAGAAGCCAGGTCACTTAATTAGAGCCAACCGCTCACTTCACATCTGACAACTCCATGAGCAGTTACATCTGATACAATTGTAAATGCTTCACTGTGCCTAGGTGCAACACAGTTCAATATAAACAATCATTCTTCCCACGAACAATAATCGCTTGGAACCAACTGGATAATGGCGCCGTGGACTCGACATCAATCAAGAGTTTCAAGGCTGCCCTGGCACCCGCTAGGAGCCGTTAGGATGGCCGCACCGTTTCCCCAACCGTTGCACATATGCCGGTACATGGATGCAGCAACGTACCCTATCAGAACCAGAATATGTTTTATTTCCATACCAATTAGCACATGAATGTATGTTATTCTCATGCCAATTAGTAATATGTATGTATGCTATTCTCATGCCAATGTGTAGGCCTATATGTATGTATGCTATTATCATACCAATTATCATTTATGTATGTATGTTATTCTCATTCCAATTAGTATATAATATGTATGTTATTTCCATGCATATTAATATTTGTATGAGTGTTATTTGCAAGCTAAATTTTATATATATGTTTTGTTGCTCCCGTGCTGATTAGTTTATGTTTGTGTATTTCCATGCTATTTAGTTTAAATACATGTGTTATGTCCATGCTAATTCGTGTATATTAATGTGTGTTATTCTCATGCCAATTTGTATATTTTTGCGTTTGTCTCATGCAAATTAGTAAGTATTCTTTTCCCCCAAGCTAATTAGTTTATATAAATGTGTTATTTCCGTGCTAATTAGTATATGTATATGTGTTAATCTCATGCCATGTTCTACGCACTATGTACTATGTGCCATGTGCTATTTGACAAAGATTAAATTTGCATCCAGCAAATACTGAATCCAAATGAATGTAACCCGTCGAACACATTAGGGGTTTTTGTTTCGAGTTTACAAAAAAATTGACAATTCTTTGTGACTTCTCCATTATTTATAACAACACCCCCCCCCCCCCCCC